TATGACTATCGTATTGTTATGCGTGTTTCAAAAAATGAGGATCAAATACAAGGAGAGTTGTCATTTTTCACAGACTTAGTTTAATAATGTAGACTTACTATTTAAGGTAGCACAAACTAAAAGCAACTAAATTTTATCAAAATTTCATTTTCAGCTGTTAATGAGTTTTGATGATAATTAGTTTTATAAACTAATGCACGTGTCTCACTGATACAAGATAAGAACATGTGGGCAGTACTTTGTGGTTAATCAATAGAATCATTTGATAGCTTTATGACCACTGACTAGCAATAAACATAACAGTTATGAAAAAGAAGTGGATTAGGGATTTATGGAAAAATGAAGATAATGAATTCCAAATAAAAATACATTTCTGTATTAAAGCTGCCAGGAGAAAAAAAAACAAAAAAACTACTATTTGGAGATATATAGGGAATCAAAATATGATGTATAGATATTAAACAAATATAATTTTACAACAATTTCAAATGTTGCTGATGTTTATACTAGAATTTCTTGAGGAGAAAGTTTAAACATGAATTCTTTTTAAAAGCAAATACAAATTAAATATTTCATTTTCAAACTGCAAAAATGAAAAAAATCTGCTTTGTGTAAAACACCATATTGCCATTGTATACAATTATAATTGTAGAAATCCCCCATAAGGATCCTCTAGACTGACCAACTGATCATTTTGTGTACACATGCATAACTTACTTTTTGTAACAATGCAAAACACCAAATATATTATTTTATGTCCGAAAAGAATAAAATTCATATTGAAAAAAGTAAACGCAATATGTAAACTTCTGAGATCATTTATAGTAAAGTTTTATCATGGTGGGCTGAGTTTTGACCATATCAGTAGCAACTGACTTACAGCAAGGTCAATAATGATATAACATCTCCCGCCAGATGTGATTTTTGATTCATAGGGTGTGCATTTTCTTTATATATTTAGAATTGCTGAATTGGAATGCTTTCTTACAGGTCAAAACCTAATTGATTTATGATTAAAGCCAATCCCGAAGTATCCCCATGGTACATGTGTGAATTATAGTGAAGTTAATTGGGTACAAGTAGGAAAATCCTTATTTATTGAATTGTGACACATTCATTTTCATTATGAAAATGAAGTTTTAAATGAAATTAGCTCCTAGATGGGTTCCCCTCTATGCATGATTTTCACACATGTTGTTCCTTGACCAGTTATCTTCAAAAGCGTGTCTCAGATTTCCAAAAACATCAATAGAAAAAATGTTATACCCAATTAAATTTAGTGATCTCTTATGAATTGAGGTTGCAAACTTCATTGAAGGTTTATGAGAATGAAATACCATAGGAAAAAATCTGAGACACCCTTTTGATTGATTGATTGATTGTTGGTTGCTTAACGTCCAGTGGCAAATATTTCATGCATATTCAGGACGAGAACAAATTAACAATAAATACAATAGGTAGGTTCTGTAATATAGGCGTCTGGGATTGAGGTCGGAGAAATTTAGACTGCCACGGGAAATGAGGGTATATTGGATAGGGACAGAAATTTAGCCTTGCAACAGGTCACCTACGGACCCCTCTAAGAGTTGTTGCAAGGGTTCTTAACGTGCAAAGAGCGTGGCACTCTCTGTACACGAGGCATCGGATTTAACGTCCCCATTCTGACCGGACGTGGCTGCAAATTTGTACATCCCGCACAGCCAAACGGACGCCCCACTTTAGCACGGGTTTTACTGCCGGTCGGAGGAAGACCAATGGTGACCATACTTCTATTCCCCAGTCACCCTTGGGGTCACCCTTTTGAAGGTCAAACTGTGTTGTACAAGAATCTATAGAATATTTGGTTGACAATGACAGCATTTAGACAGCATTGATGGAAGAAGTTGGCATGTATGAAGACCAGTATTGACATTATGACTGATGCCCGCCATGGCTGGAGGAAAAAACCCTAAGGATACAAGTGTTGCAGCCATAGGAGCGAAAATGCACAAAGTACTGAAATGTGAACATATCACTAAAGCAGACGACTTTGTATCACAGAAACACGAAATTTAATCTATACAAAAAACGAGAAACTCTTATGCCAGTTTCTGTGAAGTTTCAGTGCATTTGAATCATTTTTGAAATTTTTGCTTCAATGTCATGGCATCATAGTCATGGTAGTAGTTCCGATGATTATCAAAATCATTGATTGATTGTTGGTTGCTTAACGTCCAGTGGCAAATATTTCATGCATATTCAGGAAGAGAACAAGTTCACAATAAATACAATAGGTAGGTTCTGTAATAGGGGCGTCCGGGATTAAGGTCGGAGAAATTTAGACTGCCACGGGAAATGAGGGTATATTGGATAGGGACAGAAATTTAGCCTTGCAACAGGTCACCTTCGGACCCCTCAAAGAGTTGTTGCAAGGGTTCTTAACGTGCAAAGAGCGTGGCACTCTCTTTACACGAGGCATCGGATTTAACGTCCCCATTCTGACCGGACGTGGCTGCAAATTTGTACATCCTGCACAGCCAAACGGACGCCCCACTTTAGCACGGGTTTTACTGCCGGTCGGAGGAAGACCAATGGTGACCATACTTCTATTCCCCAGTCACCCTTGGGGGTCAAAATCATTGAAAAGCTGTACATTGTTGACATCTACATTGGAGAAGAATTTAGTGATTTTAAGATCAGGTATACTCAAATTATTCACCAAACCGAAAATTTTATTTTTCAGTATTTTGTTATTTGTTCAACGGTACGTTGTATATTATATAATACTTTTGTATTGGGAAATTGAATATGCAGTGCAACACATGGTCTTTCTCATTAGCATTACTGTCAAATGATTTCAGAATGATGAAATAATCCCATTGATAGATATTGATTTTTAAAATGAGAAATAACAAGGACGCCATCATCACAGCCAGAGTCATCACCACCAACACATCTAGATTCACCACCAACACTTCCAGATTCATCACCATTACCCCAGTTTAGACAACCAACCCTACCAAAGTCGCCACAAATAGAGTCAACATCATCCAATTGCAGCCAGCAGTGGTAAGTGATTAATATTTTCAAACTTAATGAATTAATTTGTTCTAGTAATACTTCAAATAATACCAAGCAGTTGTTTTAAAGTTTTCTGTTCTGCTTTGCGTCTTTAAACATATGAAGTTTTTTTACAATGTCACATAAAATAGTCTCAACCAATTAAATATTAATTCCAATGTCAATATTTATAAAAGTGGAATAATAATGATAGTTGATCAGTAGTATGATTGGTGACATTCGATGTTAATAAATATTTTGTGTTTAATTTTGAGATAGCCATAATAGAGAAAGTGTATTTTGGGTACAGTATTACAAGCAAAAGAAACAACTGTGGTCACTTGAAAATGAAAAGTACATAACATTAAAGAAGGAATTAGTAAAGGTTTCAGACCCCCTGACATACTGCCACAGGGAGGATCTAGATTTGGGTTCGTGTTCAAAGATCTGCATGATCTGTGATATTTATTACTCGTGATCTGTGATATTTATGATTCAAATGGCTGTCCATGCTTGCTTGTTACAAAGATTAATGTTCAAGATTTTCATGTTTAGATTTATACAGATGTTGTGTCACACCACTCCTAGCTTTTAAATTCAAACATTTTCTTTTATCAAACGATTTATGTTTTTGAGAAGTACTTAATTTGTTCAGTTGATTTATTTTTAAAATGAAAAAATGCCAAATCGATTCCTATCCTTTCATCATGTTTATCGAACATTCAACTTTCAGTAATAATGGTTTACTATTTAACATACATAAATAAAATTCATAAAATAAGAAAGCAATGAATGAGGTTGTTAATTATAGTATGTATGTACTTTTTGAGCTTCTTTGTTAAATATTTGAGTGTTTTATATTGTGATTAAGATACTGGTTGAACTTGTAAGTCCTGTCATCATTATTTATGATATTCTCGTCTCATTTTTGCTAATCTGCTTTGTCTATATGCGTTTTGGTGTTACTACGATACATATAGCGTGGCTCTGTACTTATACATCACGTTATTGTACTATTGTAAAACATGTTTGTCGCTAGTCTTTTATTTTTGCTATGTGCTTTGTCTATATGCTTTTTTATGTTTCTTTGTTACATGTATGACGTGGCTCTCTTTTTTTACATCCCGTCATTGTGGTACTATGGTAAATTTGTGTATTCTTGTCTTCAATTTTAGGTAATATGCTTGGTCTATGTGCCATTTTGTACTTCTTTGTTACCTATTTGTTAGTTTTTTTAGTGATTAGATTATAACACAATGTTGACTGCTGTATTTTTGACATTTTAACCTATTGTGTCTGTTTGTTTTGTTCACGCATTGTTGTCAATATAATTGAATTTGATGCGACTGTCATACAGGTGATAGGTTTAGCTTGCTGTAAAACCAGGTTCAATCCACAATTTTCTACTCAAGAAAATGCCTGTACCATGTCAGGAATATGACAGTTGTTATCCATTCGTTCGATGTGTTTGAGCATTTGATTTTGCCATTTGATTACGTACTTTCCGTTATGAATTTTCCTCGGAGTTCAGTATATTTGTGATTTTACTTATCATTAATAAAGCCAATAGTGACAAAACATGAAATGTCTAATAATTTTGCACAGATCCAGGTAACCAAAATATCGGGTATGTGATTCAGCCTTGCAAATTAACATTACTTACATACAGTACTACTTGAATTGATTTATCATTCCTTTTTGGATTATTTATACGAGTCATGTACTGTTAATCGATTTATTTTACGTTTATATAACTCTGCGGGTGAGTGACAGGGATGTGGCCTGTCCAGTACCAGAGTGCCCTGTCATCACCAGTTACCTAAGAGAACATGCTCTAGCTGACCACTTGTCACCCATGTTCGAGACTAAATTCTCGAGAGAGGTCATGCATGATTTTTAAATTAAAACATACATTTCATATTGTAGGTTCATAGTATTTTGGAAGAGCTACTAAAGCAAACATGCAGAGAGGAGCAGAATTTAGTGCTAAAAATATTCCTGCCAGAGGTAAATACTTATAGTATTTAACCTATAAGTATTCTAATTAGAAAAAATTAATACAAATGACAGTCTTGGTGCCTTTAAAACCTCACTAGTTGATAGTCTGTATGTAGAGGCTGATGAGCATTCACTTTTTGACAGACGTTTGAAGCTTGGACTTCAATATGCTGTCAAACTAAAAGCCTATTCAGATAATCCTGCCTACAGCTGTGTTTTTAATCAAATTTATGAAGATATTTTTGCAAAACATGAAAACAAAATTCCTCCGTTAGGTATACGTTTAAAACCACATTTAGCTACTTTTGATTTAAAATCTGTTGCTCAAGTTGAAACTTGCAAATGTCCTCCATGGGAACTTCCAAAACCAAAAATGATATTTGATCTCCGTAAACACAATAAAAATGAAACAAATCCTCTTTTAATTCACCAACACTATGCTGAAATTAAAGCCAATTATTCAGATTTTTCAACTGTCTATACTGATGGATCAAAAGATGGTGACAGAGTTGCATCTGCTGCTGTCTTCAGAAACAGAGCTGCAACTCTCCGTTTGCCATCTGCTGCATCCATCTTTACTGCTGAAGCAGAAGCAATAATTTTGGATTTGAAATTTATTGCTTCTTCAGATAAATCCAAATTTATTATATGTTCTGATTCACTTTCATGCTTACAAGCTATACAAAATACTAAAATTAAAAACCCAACAATTCTTAAACTTTTATATGTAATGAGGAATTTAAACATTCTTCTTAAAGAAATAATATTTCTATGGGTGCCGAGTCATGTTGGAATCCATGGAAACACAGCTGTAGACCTTGAGGCAAAGAATGCCCTGGGTGACACTTTATCTAACTGTGATATACCATATACCGATTTTAAATCTAATATTAGAGAATATGTTTTTAATATTTTGAAAAATGAATGGAGTAGGAGAGATGGTAACAAATTACATGAAATTAAACCTAACTTAGGTAAACCTTTTAATAATTTAATGTGCAGAAAAGATCAGTGTGTTATTTCTAGATGCCGAATTGGTCATACTAGAGTGACACACGAGTATCTTTTAAAAAATGAAGATGAACCACAATGTGTACCTTGCAACTGCAAGTATACTATTAAACATGTTTTAATTAATTGTATTGACTTTGCTGATATTCGGAAGAAGCATTTCAATGTCAATAATATGTATGATTTATTTAATAATGATCCATTTACAAATATTGTTTCATTCTTAAAAGAAATTGGAATATATTATAAATTATATAAAAAATGTTGTTATATTTAAAACGATTTTTATCACGTTATCTTAGTGTTGGTTTTTATTTGTAAATATTCAATTTGCTTTAGTCTAGAATTTTAGTTTATTGAAAGACCTTTTGTCTGATTTTAAAAATAGACCTTAAATTGTTATAATATTCGAATTAGCTCTCGCCGCGATATAGCCTTTCTGTGCTAATGCGGCGTAAAGCAAACAACAATCAATCAATCAAAATAAGAGGATGGGCCTGACATCTGGAAAAAGGATTGTTAGCATTGGAAGTTGGACAAATGTTTTTAGCATTTTTAACACGTACTCCGGAAGTTTAACCCCACTCACCCAAGCAAAGGATTTAGCCATATATATGGATTTGATTCGACATATTCAAAAGAATGGTAGAGATTGGTATTGTTCGATGTTAATTTTAGACAACCAATGCAAAATAATGACACACTTTCTTTGCGTTATGTAAATCAATTTTTACATACGAGGTCCCTTAATAGATTTATTCACAAAAAAAAGTAAATTCACAAAAATACTGAACTACGAGATAACAATCCAAACCCGATAAAAAAAAAACACAGTATTTTACTTGATCATATTGAAAAAGTCTTCATAACAAGACTCTCATCAAGTATTGTACTTATAGAAGAATAACTTATCTATTATTATCACTCGACACATTTTTTTATATGCAGCGGCTTCTACCTGCTAAAAATTTAGTCGAATGTATTTTGTAGTATGACATTTAAAATTATTTCTCGTTGCATTTATTTTTCAACCTTGCTATTCCAAAAAAAAAGTAAAAAAGATGATAATAAATTACATGAAATTAAACCTAATTTAGATAAACCTTTCACTAATTGTATGTGCAGTCAAGGAATATACTGAAATTTCACAAATTAGAGTATCTCCATCTCTCTGATCTTACTGGTTCATCAGAAATAAAATCGTCTGATCTTTCCGGTCGATCAGGGATTGATTGATTGATTGATTATTGTTTGCTTTACGCCGCATAAGCACAAAAAGGCTATATCGCGGCGAGAGCTAATTCAAATATTTTTACAATTTAAGGTATATTTTTAAAATCAGACAAAAGGTCCTTCAATAAACTAAAATTCTAGACTAAAGGGAATTAGTTATTTACAAATAAAAATCAATACTTAGATAACGTGATAAAAATTAAAATCGTTTTAAATGTATACAACATTTTTATATTTTATAATATATTTCAACTTCTTTTAAGAATGAAACAATATTTGTAATTGGAAAACTATTTAATAAATCATACATATTATTGACATTGAAATGCTTCCTACGAATATCAGCGAAGTCAATACAATTTATTAAAACATGTTTAATAGTATACTTGCAGTTGGTATATCCTTCTTGAGAGACAAAGTCCTCAATCATCTTACCTTTGGCATTATGAGACCTGCTTTCCCATAAGGAATCATGGGCATTAAAAAGAAGTCTAAACATTTGACCAACTCGTACACGTCTACTTTTAGTTTCATGTTATTGTTTTTTGTAAATTGAAGTCACTTTTCTCAAATTTACAGATTACTGAATGTCAAATATCTGTAACAATTTAACTGTTCATCTATTTTGCTATTAAATGTTAGTGTTAGTGACTAGCCAGTATTTCTTACAGGTCTGTTCAACTTGTTATATATGTTTATATTGTACTTTTTATTAGGTAATAATCCTCTAAATTTTGAATTGTTTTAATAACAAACAAATTTCTGCTTTTTCAGAAGATGTTAACAATTTCAAAGTAAAAAGAACCGTCATCCAATACTACAGAGTACCAATTAGGGTACAGACAGTAAGTGTTGGTACAACCAACACATACATCAGAGACGGTCAGAAGAAGTCTGCCACAACAATGGGTTTCGCAGACCAGAATGGTGCAATAAAAGGGCAGTGCTTTGACAGTAGCAAATTAACAACCATCAAAGAAAACTGCTGTGTCATGATCAGAAACTACATCTTCCGGAACAATACGATCATTATAACGTCAGCAACTGAAGTAAATGTTACTAGTGGAGTTGGAGACATTGCCCTGATCCACCGGAGCCAATCTGCTGAACTATCCAGACCACCACCTCCACCAGCAGTTGTTTCTATTGAGAAAGCCAAGAAAACAACAGCATATACACGTGTATCAGAGAGACATGTAATTTAGTAGTTTCCACGTGATTAGAAAAAAAAATTCCTGTACATCAAAACTGTCCAGTTAGAACCTTATTGAACTTGATAAACAGATAAAATGCCTAATGATTTCCAATCCACACAGAGGAAGTTAACACAAATAATTAAAGTTACATAAATTCAAACAAGCATGCAGAAGACACCATCGTTCGCAGTACACACTTCCTGTCAACTTACTAACCGATATGATAATGTTTCAGCTAAATCCACATAATTACTGTCAATTTCATCTCATTACTTCACCCTGCAGAATCAAGGGTGGTTTTAGAAGTATAGACCTTCGATGATAATGATTTTGCAAGAATACATTGATGTTGCTAATTAAAGTTTTCTTAATTCTAATTGATAAATGAAATAAGACATATACAGTAACCATCATTTTTGAATACTGTGGATTCATTATTATTCGTTGGATACCAATTTTCGTGGCTTTCGTGGGTACTAGTGAATCATGCAATTAAATGTTCGACGAATAACAAATGTTCTATAGGCGTGTATGCAGACGTTGGCAAAACCACGAAATTAAATATTCACGAACATTGGTACCAACGAAAATAAATGAATCCACAGTATAGAAGATACTGATTTTGTTGGTCCAGAGTATGTAATCAATGATTAATATTTTAAGGTGGATGCTGTATTAGAAAGAGTAACGTTAAGAACCAAAAAAACCATCAAGCTAAAACAATTATATCTGCAGGACAGTACTAGGGAGGTTAAAATTAGTATGTGGAGACAACTGGCAGAAAGTTCAATAGAAGTTGGGAAAACTGTCAAAATAACTTTCCTGAAGCTAAATATCCATAAAGGACAGACCAGCTTACAAACCAGCCCTCAAAGTACACTTGAGGTATGTCTTTGATTACTGTACATGTAATCTTTAACTCCACAGACCATTAATAATGTTACTGTTCCATAACAAATCAGTCGCTTAATAATATAACATGACTATAATTGAATTACCAGGACAGCAATCCAAAATTCAATGAATTTGACAGGTCCAAGACACAATCAATTATATGAAATTGAAACATAACTAGTACATTGTATCACATCAGAAAATCATATAACATTCTGAAGTACAATAAGTGAAAGTTATCCTTTAATATTTACAGTCTTATAGAATTAAAAAAGCATTAACTTTTACGTTTGTTAGTAAACAAATGGTAAGCTAGATAAACAATTAAAAATGATACTTCAAAATATCAAGAAAAAACATGCAAAAGTTACAGTATTGCTATTAAAATTCACTTGGTTAACATTGATTTGCAGCATATCCTGAAGCTACAATCATAAACCACACGTGTGTTCCCATAGTTAAAAACCATAGCTTTAGAACCCTCATCAGAATGTCTGTAATAGTTTGTCTCGTGTTGATCATAACTATCTGACCAGTTAAATTTGTTTTGCTGTTTGTTTTCAAAGCAATCACATATGAAATAATCTATGAAAAATTAACATACCTCAAACAACCATATAACAAGATGTGGAATAAAAGCTTTACAAACAAATTATCAGTCACGTTAATGTTATATTGTATTCCAAATGTTTTATTTTACAGTTTGTGTCAGAACAACACAAGGTGGTCATAGATGGGTTCTGCAAGGAAGAGGATGACATAATTCTTGTGTGCAAACAAGATGAGGTGTACACAAACTATAAATGCCCTCGTCATGCTCTGAACGAATTGGTTGGTGATGAAGAGGAGGCAGAAGCAGTTATTGATGGGATGATTCCCTTCAATGCTAGGATTGTTGTTTCAGGAAACAACACCATATCATCAGTGACAATGGACTAATAATATCATATACAAGACTGAACATCAAAAACCCAACAATTGATTAGAATTTATAATATACAGCCAAGTTTAGAATATTATTTTATATTTAGACAAAGTTATATTTCTTAGAAACTGTACATCAAAAACCACACTTTATTAGAATATACAGCCAAGTTGAGTACATTATTTTATATTTTTAGTTTCTTGTGTATAATTTGGAGATTAGTATGACGTCCATTATCACTGAATAGTATACATATTTGTTTAGGGGCCAGTTGAAGGACGCCTCCGGGTGCGGGAGTTTCTCGCTGCATTGAAGACCCATTGGTGGCATTCGGCTGTTGTCTGCTCTATGGTCGGGTTGTTGTCTCTTTGACACATTCCCCATTTCCATTCTCAATTTTATTAACTATTGACATGTATTAACCAATTGGCCAATCGTGTCAGTATTCGACAAAGATGCAATGCTATTCATAAAAGAGGGGCGAAAGATACCAAAGGGACAGTCAAACTCATAGATCGAAAATAAACTGACAACTCAATGGCTAAAAAATAAAGAGACAAACAGACAAATAATAGTACAAAAGATAACATAGTAAACAAAAGACTAAGCAACACGAACCCCATATTCATAACATGAAAACGGTAACGTAGTATCACTGAAATGTGTATTCTTATATTGTGAGTTTATTAAATGATGAAAACTATACAGTGATGTAACAAATTGATGCAATATTAAACTATGGTTTCAAGTATAATGTTTGACCTTATGTTCTAGTTTTTTAAGATTTATGTATTGTTTGACGACACACAACGTTCCCTTTGTGTGATTTAAATATCAAGGTTAACGATGTTGAAGATCACATTTTTCTTCGTACACCGGCAGACAACAAATTAGGTCGTTCGGTTCAGGACAGACAGTTTCTAGAATTAATGCAACGTCACTTTCGTAAAGACGAGAATGGTCTTTGGTCGGCTCCTTTGCCATTTATACAACCGAAACCACAAATGCCTAACAATCGTTATCAAGCCTGGAAAAGAGCTCAGATTTTAGACTTAAGTTTGCGAAAGAACTCTAAAAAGCTTGAACACTTTGTTACCTTTATGTCTAAAGTGATTAGTAGTGGTTCAACTGAAGTGGCACCTGAAGAAATTCCAGGAGAATGCTGGTATCTTCCTCTTTTTGGGGTGTACCACCCTAAAAAACCACATCAAATACGTGGAGTTTTCGACTCGTCAGCACTGTATGAAGGAGTATCTCTTAATAGTATTCTAATGTCCGGACCGGACCTGACTAATAACCTTGTTGGAGTGCTTATGCGTTTTAGAAAGAATAGAATTGCAATAACAGGTGACGTTGAACAAATGTTTTATCAATTTCATGTTGATGAATTCCATCGAGATTATTTTCGTTTCTTTTGGTATGAGAACAATGACTTTACAAAACCGTTGATTGAATACCGCATGACAGCACATGTTTTTGGCAACACCCCTTCACCTGCTGTAGCGACATATGGCTTACGTGAAGCTGTTTCAGAAGCTGACACTGATGTACGTTCCTTTGTTACGAATTATTTTTACGTAGATGATGGTCTGATCTCATTTGCAGACAAGGATGATGTATAGACCTTATGAAAAGAACACAAAAAGCTCTAAAGGATAATGGTAATATACGATTACACAAAATCATTTCAAACGATATCGATGTGATGAAAGCTTTTCCTTTAGATGACTTAGGAAAAGAGTTTAAAGATTTAGATTTGTGCTCAGATACTTTGCCTGTTCAACATAGTTTAGGTTTGTCGTGGAATTTACAGATAGACATGTTTATCTTTTGTGTCAATGATGATGAAAAACCAATCACCCGTAGAGGCATACTTCCAACTATTTTGATCCGTTGGGTTTTATTTCGCCGCTAGTCATCAGTGGAAAAATTCTACTTCGAGAAGTTGTTCCACCAGGAACTGATTGGGATGATCCGCTGTCTACTGATCATGCAACAAAATGGAAAAACTGGTTGAAGTCTTTGAAATCTTTTAGTTGTTTTCAAATACCGCGTATGATTGTTCCTAGATCTTTTTCTTTGACACGCCAAGTTGATATCCACATTTTCTCTGATTCTTCAGAACAAGCAATCTCTGCTGTGGCTTACCTGGAGGCAATCGATGAAACTGGTTCAGCATTTATAGGTTTTCTTACTGGAAAGTCTAAACCTGCACCTATCAAATGTCATACTAATCCTAGATTGGAACTGTGCGGTGCCGTGCTGGTTACGGAAGTTGGAGAAGCGATATGTCATCATATGAATCTGTCTCCGAGTGTTTGTCATTACTATACAGACAGTCGAGTTGATTGATTGATTGTTGGTTGCTTAACGTCCAGTGGCAAATATTTCATGTATATTGAAATGAGGGTATATTGGGTTGGGACAGAAATTAAGCCTTGCAACAGGTCACCTACGGACGCCTCAAAGTGTTGTTGCAAGGGTTCTTAACGTGCAAAGAGCGCGGCACTCTCGTTACACGAGGCATCGGATTTAACGTCCCCATTCTGACCGGACGTGACTGCAAATTCGTACATCCCGCACAGCTAACCGGACGCCCCACTTTAGCAAGGGTTTTACTGCCAGTCGGCGGAAGACCAATGGTGACCATACTTCTAATCCCCAGTCACCATTTGGGGGGGGGGGGGGGGGGGGGGGGGGGGGAATGGAGGGACAGTCGAGTTGTGTTAGGATATATATGTAATACTGTATCAACAGATAGAAACCCAGCTGACTTAGGGACTAAATTTATTAGCTCTCCAGACATGCAAATTATTGGTTCTTGGATTAACGGACCGAATTGGTTATTAAACAAGGAACCTTTTGATATGGTATCTTTTCCGTTGTTATCACCACATGAAGATAAAGAAATTCGTCCTGAAATTGTTTCACGTAAAACACAAATTGACAGTCTAGAGAATGACTCTCCACGATTCAGCAAGTTTTCTAGTTGGAGATCTCTTGTGAGATCATTATCACTCTTGAGACACATAGCTAAGACTTTGAGTAGTGCAACTACATCTCGTTGCAAAGGTTGGCATATTTGCGCTGAAAAGGACACTCCAGATGTTATCAAGGGAACCGAGACATTGATCACTCGACAAGTACAGAAGGAATTCTTTGAACACGAAATAGATTCTTTAAATACCGACCAGCATGTTCCAAAAAATAGTGCGATTTTAAAACTTGACCCAATACTTGATGAACATGGTATCTTGTGAGTAACAGGTAGATTGAATCGCTCTCCATTGACACTTGGTGAAAAGAATCCTATTTTAATTCCTGGTAAATACCATATTGCGAGATTACTAGTGTTACATTTTCCACGATTGATTGATTGATTGTTGGTTGCTTAACGTCCAGTGGCAAATATTTCATGCATATTCAGGACGAGAACAAATTAACAATAAATACACTAGGTAGATTCTGTAATAGGGGCGTCCGGGATTAAGGTCGGAGAAATTTAGACTGCCACGGGAAATGAGGGTATATTGGATAGGGACAGAAATTTAGCCTTGCAACAGGTCACCTACGGACCCCTCAAAGAGTTGTTGCAAGGGTTCTTAACGTGCAAAGAGCGTGGCACTCTCTTTACACGAGGCATCGGATTTAACGTCCCCATTCTGACCGGACGTGGCTGCAAATTTGTACATCCCGCACAGCCAAACGGACGCCCCACTTTAGCAAGGGTTTTACGGCCGGTCGGAGGAAGACCAATGGTGACCGTACTTCTATTCCCCAGTCACCCTTGGGGGTTCATTTTCCACGAACAAGTCCACCAACAGGGACGTCATATAACAGAAGGCGCAATAAGGACTGCTGGATACTGGATTACCGGTCGCAAGCGTTTGATATACAATTATTTCAAGTTGTTTTTTATGCATAAGATTTAAAGGTACTGTTTCGTCTAAAAAAATGGCTGATCTTCCGGAAGAAAGACTTTTAGCATGCCCACCATTTACATACGTTGGCGTTGATTGTTTTGGACCCTGAAACATTGTTACAAGACGGACTCTTGGTGGAAACGCAAATTCAAAACGAAGGGCTGTCTTATTAGTCTGTTTTTCATGTCGAGGTGAGTATATTAAAATAATTGAAGAGATGACTACCGCATCCTTCATAAATTCACTTCGCCGCTTCATATCAATCAGAGGATATGTTAAAAAATTCTTTTCTGATAGAGGAACCAGTTTTATCGGCGGAGCTCGAGAGCTCTGCATAGAAGCTTCTTTTATTGAGGACTCAGTGTTTCAATCATTCATGAAAGAACAAAAAACTGTGGAAATTCAATACACCGTACTCATCCCACATGGGAGGTTTATGTGAATGTCTCATTGGCATATCAAGACGTATATTGGATTCAATATTGTTTGAAGGTAGACATCAACGACTCACACATGAAATCTGGTGTACTTTCATGGCAGAAACAACAGCTATTATGAACGCTCGTCCTTTATTGCCTATTTCATCCGATCCTAACTCACCATCTATCTCATCTCCAAATACTTTGCTAACACAGAAAGTGAGTGACAATATTGAGGACTTCAGCCATTTGAACACGCGTGATGTTTACAGAAATCAGTGAACATTTGTTCAGGTTTTAGCTGACAAAATTTTGGACACGTTGGCGACAAGAATATTTGCAGTCGTTACAAACTCGTCGCTCGCAAATGGCAGCACATCAAACAAAACATTCAAGGTAGGTGATGAAGAGCTCCTTAAAAGACAATAAACTCCATCTAAATAACTGGCCAATAGGTCATGTTGAACGTGTTTTTCCAGGTAGAGACAATTTGATCCGTAAAGTTCAGATGAAGGTTGTAAGAGACAAACAACATCGTGTGTTTGTGCGACCAATCAGCCAAATTGTTTTACTGTTTCATAGTTGCGACTTTTATTTAGGACTTTTGAAACAATTTTTTGACTATAAAGTAGTATTTTTGAACACTTGTAAGTTTGTGTTGATGAGAACGTT